CACATACTGTTAATTCTACTTACCCTGCTCCTGGAGAGTAATCTGAGCCAATGTTTGGTGCAATAAGGGAATTGTAGAATGGTGAATTTGGACCACTCATTAAAAGTGAAGATAAAATGACCATGGAGAAATTATCAAATGCATCTGTGGTACTGTTGATAAGCAATGTAATAATTCCTATTTAGGAGGGTGGCACTGATATAAAGTTAACTTCAGATAATATTTCAGGGTTTCTATCAAGGAATGTGGTAGCAGGCAAAAAGTGAATAGTACTAGGAAAACATCTTTCATATCTAAATAGATCAAAGTAGCTCAAGTCATCACAATTTACCCACTATATCAAGAGGAAATTTTGGCAACCATTGCTGTCCTGGAACACATGGCTGACGTCCATATTAAAAGAATTGGGTTTGAGATTACCGGTAGCCTTAGTCATTGCATGGTTCTCTTAGGCATGACTGTTAACTATCATAATGGCTCTCTTTATGAAGAGACAAAGTGAACAACTTATAAATAAATACACAACATGTAACTTGTAGATATAACATATCTAGAAAATAGGCAAGAGTGTTTCACTAGAAATTCTAGAGTCTGATTAAGTGAAACAAAAACGTATTTCTTTGATTTGTTTCCAGATGTTCAGGCCCCTTGAAGATGACTTTTCTTGTAAATTTGCAAATATTTTCTTAAATAAACAAACACTCCTCGATTAAGACAAGGACTTGACAAACCTTCCTGTTAAGTAATGTAGTCCAACTGTAGTTTGCTTGTCAGGATTTGCTGCCATTGGATCAACAGGGCAGGTTACATGTTTTTCTCTCTGAAAGGGAATAAAAATATCACAATCAAATATTATAGAGTAACTGTTAACAAAAGGAAAGCAAAAAAAAACAATCTAATTAATTTTGCTCTTTGGTTATGAACCAGCAGCTCTTAACTTAGATACTCTACTCTGCACCTATAAACATTTGCAAGTTCTGGAGGAATTGTTTATCAATGATGGAAGAAGAGAAAAGGACAACAGAAAGAAAGGGAAATTTGAAAATGGGATGGTTTGGAAGAATGGCCTAATAAACTTTTAAAGAAGGAGCAAAAAACTTTAAAGAATCATACATTGTATGATACATGCAATGATCCACTCCTAATCCCAAAATCTGGAAGCACCAGTCTTACCAGGTGGTCATAATATGAAATCAATTTACAGAAATCTTTGTCTTGTAATAATATCATTTGTCATCATTGATACTTACTGGTTTTGACCAGCGTGGTTCATGTGGAATGTCAGTTGTTACAGAGATTTTTTCAAAATGACGTAGAACTTTATTCTCAATACTTTCTAGATTTTTCTCTAGGGGAAGGTCTCCATAAGTATAGAACCTGTAAATTCATCATTTTTTAAGGATTAGCTTTCCATCAAAGTGAAATTGCCACATGCTTTAGGTAATAGTGTTCACCTACATTGTTAACTATTTCACTCCCAAGATCTCATTAGTAGCTCTCCTTACTTCTTATGATGTTAGTTTGGAGAATTTGGAATT